TCTCTATGTAAACTTAAATATACTTCTATTTAATGTTCATTGACACGGTCCATTATCTCACTGCTCTTCCTTGGCCACACATTTTAGCAATGCTTATATATTTCTGTACTGTGGTGATGAAATTACACATAATCCTATTTCCCTGTAAATGTTCATATCTTATCAGCACTATTCTGTCAGTCTACTTTTCACTTTTTAAATAATATGTTTTAGAGAGAGTGGAAGGGAAGGAGAGAGAGAGAAACATCGATGTGAGAGAGACACATCGATTGGTTGCCTCCGGCACACGCCCTGACTGGGGTTGGGAATCAAACCTGCAAGCCTTCAGTGTAGGTGCCCTTGATGGGAAATTGAACCACTGAGCCACACCGGCCAGGGTGGGAGTTCTTTTTTTCTTCACCGTAATGTGAGTCTTTTTTTTAAAAATGTTTTTTATAATTTAAAATTTTTTAAATTATAGTTGGCATACAATATTATATTAGTTGCAGGTATACAGCATGGTGATTAGACATTTATATAACTTACAAAGTGAGCACCTTGAGAAGGCTAGTATTCACCTGACATCGTACGTCAGTATTACAATACTGTTGACTATTAGCAATACTGTTGTTCTTTTAACAAGAAAGAAGGGAGTGTCTTCTTCTGGTAACTGTATCGCACACTAAATATTGACTGATGCTCTGCCACAGAATAATTCTTTTACTATGTGAAGTGTAGGAAGTTAAATGTTCTATAAATGGAGCATTAGACAAGTATACAGTGTGTTGTTTTCCAGTGTGATTGAAAAAATGGAGCCATTCTTCATTTTTAAAGAAGAATTATGGGTTAAAACCTTTTGAGTAAACTCATTTGTATTAATTTATTGAAATGTTAGGAAGCTTAGAAACATAACTGCAACAAATGTTACAGAGCAGCGTTTCTCAACCTGTGGGTCGCGACCCCTTTGGGGGTCGAATGACCCTTTCACAGAGGTCGCCTAAGACCATCGGAAAACACATATATAATTACATATTGTGTTTGTGATTAATCACTATGCTTTAATTATGTTCAGTTTGTAACAATGAAAATACATCCTGCATATCAGATATTTACGTTACGATTCATAACAGTAGAAAAATTACAGTTATGAAGTAGCAACGAAAATAATTTTGTGGTTGGGGTTCACCACAACATGAGGAACTGTATTAAAGGGTCATGGCATTAGGAAGGTTGAGAACCACTGTTACAGAGAGTTTATATCTCTACTTGTAAGGAGCTCAGTCAATAGCAAAACTTTGCCCAAATTAAACTAAGATTTGTACTTTTTTCTGTCAAATTGTACAAACAGTGGTGCCCAATCCTGGTGAGGAGATCCTTTACTACTGGGGAGAGTATAAATTGATATAAATTTTCTTAAACATTTATAAAAAGTATAAAGAACCTTTAAATGTTAATATAATTTATCTCTAAGGAAGCTTTCTGAATGAAAAGGTTAGAATTATGGACCAATTTGGTCCTTATGAAATAATAGATTATTCCAGCAGTATTTATATTTGTTAAAATATTTGGAAACAGAAATAACTTAAAAGAATAACTAAGTTAGGTGTGATCTCTCCGTAGATTCAATATAATATTGTTAAAAATAAGGACACAAGCTGTTTATACCATTATTACCATTTTTGTAACACAGAGAAGTATTTATTTACTTAAAAGAAATGTGCCACATATTACCAATAGGAATTGTGGATTGTGGGCGTCACATGCCATTTTTATTCATTCTTTTTTGGCATTTCCCAATTTTCCTATAATGAATATGAATTATTTCTACAATGCTAAAAAATTCACTGTATTTTTAAAAAATATATTTTTATTGATTTCAGAGAAGAAGTGAGAGGGAGATTTAGAAACATCAATGATGAGAGAGAATCATTGATTGGCTGCCTCCTGCACGCACCCTACTGGGGATCGAGCCCACAACCCAGGCATATGCCCTTGATCGGAATCGAACCCATGACCCTTGGGTGAAAAAAGTGTTTTGACCCACGACATTGGGTGGGGCCATCCTGCACTCGAAAAGAACTTTCTATTGCTAGGCTAGGAAAGGTGTTACCGAGTATCTTGTTCCTGTGAGGTCTGGCCTTTCTCAGTCCTGCCTCAAAGGCAGTGTTTAAAGGAAGTCGTCACAATAGCTCATTCTTCGGTGTTCACGTCAATCACATCATTCTATTTTCCTCTTCCTGGAGGGCTTCTGTTTTCTTTTCTGTGATATGTATAGGACTGAGGTCACTGGGGCTGTGGAGCCACTCAGGAGGGGCCAGGAGCCAGTTTAAGGAAACAGTTTGTCTTAATTTATCCAGATAGCCGAAGCTAACTCCTGTCAGGTTGGGGAGATAATGATCTCAAGACATAATTGTCCCTTTTGCTCAGTCCGTGTGGAAAATGGGGCCCCCAGTATTCCTGAACAAGGGGCTAATTGTCTTCCTTCCGACGGTGATGAAAACACATGTGGGTCTAAATGCGCTATGTGTACACCCTCGCTACCTTTCCATGTGTGAGTGTGAGGGGCGGGGCAGGAAAGAGAGGTTTCTCCCGAGGTCTGTCCTTCCACTCGGGCATCCATGGCACAGCATGTAGGGGGTTCAGGTCGATTAGTTTGTCATTTGATGACAGGAAACCCTTGGTATAAAGTCACATACTTCTGGAGTTGGAAAATCCTTATGAATTTAGTTTCAATTTGGCCTTCCATTCCTTGCCAGGTACTTGCACATGTGCCTGGAATTCCTAAACTAGGTTATTCACCCCCTGGGTTACACCACCTGAGCTAGGAGACCCTTGAACGAGCCTCATGATATCTGGAAAGATTCACCATGCTTACCCCCTTGACTTCCCATGCGTTTCCAGCATGGCGCTGAAGAGGATGGCTTCACTTATGCATAATTACCCAATAACATTATGTTAGCACATGGAAATTGAGTGGCTCTAAAGCAGTGGTTCTCAACCTTCTGGCCCTTTAAATACAGTTCCTCATGTTGTGACCCAACCATAAAATTATTTTCGGTGCTACTTCATAACTGTAATGTTGCTACTGTTATGAATCGTAATGTAAATATCTGCTATGCAGGATGGTCTTAGGCGACCCCTGTGAAAGGGTCATTTGACCGCCAAAGGGGTCGCTACCCACAGGTTGAGAACCACTGCTCTAAAGGCTTTCTTTCTGTTTGTTTGCCTTTGCATTGACATTTAAGGGCCACTGGTTTAATCTTAAAATTAGAGCCATTAGCCCTAACTGGTTTGGCTCAGTGGATAGAGCCTCGGCTGCAGACTGAGGGGTCCCAGGTTCGATTCTGGTCAGGGGCATGTGCCTTGGTTGCGAGCACATCCCCAGTGGGGAGTGTGCAGGAGGCAGCTAAATTGATGTTTCTCTCTCATCAATGTTTCTGGCTCTCTATTCCTCTCCTTTTCTCTCTAAAAAAAGGAAAAAAAAATTAGAGCCTTTAGACAAGGTGACAGTTAGGAACTTCAAGTTGCCATCATATGGAGAGTTGAAAATATGTAGCGGCCAACTCCGGCCCAGTCCCCTTGCAGACTTTGGAATCTAGAAACTTTTTTTTTCTTTTCTGAATAACAGGGACTAATATGATCTGAAGCTGATGTTTCTTCCCATTTATGCACAAGTCCTTTATATAAAAAAGAAGCAGTGTTGACAAATTCTGTCTTAGAATTGATAGAACAGTGTGTTGGGTTCATTCGGCCCTGTGGAATCTAAAACAGTAACCTGTCCCCTGAATGCTAGCTGCCTATACGACAGCCCCTACTTGGATGTTTAATAAGCATCTCAAACTCAAGGTGGAACTCTTGGTTACCCCACAGCCCACAGATGACCTCCTCCCCACGTTTTTTCTTTCTTACAAAAAGGAGCTCCCCGTTTGCCTGGTTGTTCAAGCAGAGGTTCTGAGAGTTACCCTCAATTCTTTGCTTTCTCTTTCCCTTCGCCAGTCTGTCCTCACTGCAATTGTTGTTGACATGACTTCTAAAATTTTTCCCTAAGTCATTGACTTCTCCCCATCACTGTTGTTACCGCCCCGTTCCAATCACGGTCTTCTCTTATCTGGACTATTGCACTGTCTTCTAAACCACTTTCTTACTCTCTTAGGATCTCGTTTCTACCAAGCAGCGAGTCATCCTTCTAAACCCACACCCTGTTTAAAGTCATTCCTTGATAGCAGTTAGAACGAAAGAGTTAACCCAGGGGTCCTCAAACTATGGCCCGCGGGCCACATGCAAATACAAATATTGTATTTGTTCCCGTTTTGTTTTTTTACTTCAAAATAAGATATGTGCAGTGTGCATAGGAATTTGTTCCTAGTTTTTTTTTAAACTATAGTCCGGCCCTCCAATGGTCTGAGGGACAGTGAACTGGCCCCCTGTTTAAAAAGTTTGAGGACCCCTGAGTTAACCCCTTACACTGGTTTACGAATCCCTTGGGGGCCCAGTCCCACCACCTCTGTGGCCCTGAGTCCTACTACTCTCTCGGCGCCACAATTCTCCAGAGCCCTGGACTTTCTGCTCTTTGAGCATTTCAATCCATCAACCTGAGGGCCTTCCCCTACTAGGAATGGTCTTTCCTCATCCTCCCACGAATGGCTCCTTCTAATATTTCGGACAAGAGGTTCTGATAAAGGTGATCCCTCATGGAGACCTTCCCTGACCACCTCATTATTTAGAACCCCTCTCCTCCGAATCCAGCTTCATCTGTCACATGTCCCTTCTTGGCGCCTGTTTACATTAGCTGGATACTGTTTGTAGTTAACTCCACCACCAATGCTCCTGCCGAATTGAAGACCCATGGGAGCAGGGGCCTCATCTGCTTTTTCATCATCATGTCACCAAGACGACAGGAAGGGACTCGATAAATGGTGTGGCATGAACGCCAGCCTCAGCTGTTGTTCATATGCTGTGCAATCCAGCTGTCTCGCAACTTGGGAATCAATAGGTTGTTTCTGCCTGTTCTGTTTCTACAGCAGACCGGACTGTATGAGTATAAAGTCTTTGGTGTTCTGGAGGATTGCCCGCCGGCTCTGCTCGCGGATGTCTATATGGACTTAGACTACAGAAAACAGTGGGACCAATATGTTAAAGGTGAGTAACACCCACTGTTTTTTAAAAAGTCAATTAGAAAGTAGAATCTATTGTTATTTATCTTACCTAGCAGGATAAATTTCTAACAGGTTTAATTTCTTTTAAAAAAAATATATTTTATTGATTTTTTACAGAGAGGAAGGGAGAGGGATAGAGAGTTAGAAACATCAATGAGAGAGAAACATCAAGCAGCTGCCTCCTGCACACCCCCTACTGGGGATGTGCCTACAACCAAGGTACATGCCCTTGACTGGAATCGAACCTGGGACCCTTCAGTCCCCAGGCTGATGCTCTATCCAGTGAGCCAAACCGGTTAGGGCAGGTTTAATTTCTACTCTGTTATGTTTCATTTTAAAGTTTGGCATAAAAGTCTAAGTGCTGAGCTGAAATGTGCCTTTGCTTTCCTAGGACTTGCTCTTTGCATACTTTCTGATCCACTCTTCAGTTTGCTCAGAGGGCTACTCTGTTCTCTCTGTAAGTTGGTTGTCATCTGTATACCTACGTATCATGGAAGGCTTCTTGGAGGAGGTGGTGCCCGAGCTTTGTTTTGGAAGGTGAACACAAGAATACTATATGTGAGGAAGTTAGGGTAAGGGGATGAGTGGTGCAAGGGCATTCCAGGCCCAGAGAACAGCATGAGTCAAGTCAGGAAAGCGTGAGACAGCATGATATGTACAAATGGTGAGTAATTGGGCAGCAGAATCTGGAGTTAGGGTGGGAAGAGGGTTCAGATCCCCAAGGCCTAGGCTGGCTGCCAGTCTGCAGTCCTTAGATTGTACCCTATGGGTGATGGAGAGTTATGAAAGGCATTCAACGGGACCCCCCTGCCGTAGAGCTGGGAGAGACCTCTGCCATCTCGGTCACAGTGGCATAAAACTACGGAGTTGCCAAGGGGTGCACAGACTCTGAAAGACCCCCGTAGTCAGGTCTCCTGGTTGCAAGTAACAAAAATGCTAACGAATGCCCGTGTAAGAAAAGGAAAAGGTTTATTGGTTCATGGCATTGAAAACTCCACGGGTGTCTGGCTTCCAGGAGAACTACATCCAATACTTGAATCATTTCTCCATCTTTTGACTCCGTTTTTCTGCCCGAATCCTCAGGCAGATTCCTATGTCATGCAAAGGTGCCACCAGAAGATCCAGGTTCATAAGTAACCATATGATTAACCCCAGAGGAACAGGAACGAGAATTCCACTTCCTGCCGCTGGCAGCCAGAGCCCAGGATTGGCTCTCCTTGGCTCAGCATGGACCACGTGCTTGTTTCCTGTGGACCTTTCTCATGGCTTTGGGTCACTTACTGTTTTCAGATACGCTTCATATCTAGGGGGAATTGTGATGCTCGCACATCCAAGGGACAAACTGTTCTCTCTGTCCCAGTCTCCCTAGCAGCCATTCCAGTCATGTGACTGAAGTGGTCAATAAGGCTCACACGTGTCTTCAGTTTGAGAGAGAGCAACGTGAGGAAGCAGGCAGCATGCAGAATCCATTTTCCGGTGATGGTCCCAGCAGCGGCATCCTGACTTTGGGGCAGACAGTTGCAGGGCTTCTGACATTTGGTTCTCACGCCATGGTGTCTGGTCCACCCGACTGGCTTCTCTGGAACAATCCTGAGGTCTAACCCTAACTCTGGTCCTCCTGGATATTCTGGGAGCTCCCTGAGAGCCTTTGCTAAACCACCTTCCAGCTTTAACCTGCTCGAGCGGCAAGCTAAGGCCCTGGCCAGATGTACCTCCCTGAACTAACCCCCGTGGCCATGTCTTGCCACTTTGCCAGCCCTGGGATTAATGCTGAGCCAGTTCTGCTTAAACCACATCGTCAAGAAGGAGGGGAAGGTGATGCCCTGAAGGAGCATTGAGATGCCAGTCCGCGAACGGGGAGTCAACGCCGAGCATGGGAAAGCAACAGGTGTCCACCGCTTCCCTTCCTTTCAGGGCTGTCTTCAATCCCTGTGGCACCAGTGGGTGGGCAAGTGCTTTATTAGGTTTTCTTTCAAAAATTGAGTGAAGTAATAAGTTTTTCCCTCATCTGCTTCTCAAGGGACCCCGGGGTTACTTCAGCAGCCTTGGCTTGGCTTCCTCTGTAAATGTCAGGGAGATGTTTGCAGTCCAGCTGGGGTTCGAGGGGACACATATCATCGAATTCCTTTGCTACCTCCCTCCAGGAGTGGCCGCTGTTTGCACACCAGAGCATGATGGGATCGTAAGGAGATCTGGTCACTGTAGTTGTGGTATAGTGCACAGAAACATGGGAGAGGAGCAAGACACTTCGCCACAGTTATGGCACTTTCTCTTTGTCCGGGAAGGACACTGCCTTCTCCAGAACCTTTATTTCCCAGATAAACGTGCTAGGCTAGGCGACTCAGTCCTGAGCCAGTGGTCATGTCTTGAAATCGAGGGAAGAAAAGGTCTTCAAAGCAAAATTGTTGGTACTCTAGTGACATCTGGTGGTCACCCTGATCTTGTAACCTGAAGGTTTATTCTTGCTGCCGGATAGTGATTCATTGCATCCTAGCTGGGAATCTTGTTTTTGCTCTGAGATAGACAAGTTTTGTTGGGTTCTCTGATGTTGACTCTGCTTTTATATCTGCTGGACTGTGCCCCTTGGCAGCAAGCTTTCAGCAGTAATGAGCGGGCCTGACTTTTTTAGAATTCTGTGCTGTACGCATTCATGGTTTATCGTGTTCTACGAGGTCATCCTACGCAGGCTTCGTGTTCATTGAAACCGAAGAGGCTTCCAGATGCATTAACTTCTTTTGTTCTCCTTAGAACTCTATGAAAAGGAATGCAACGGCGAGACTGTGGTCTACTGGGAAGTGAAGTACCCTTTCCCCATGTCCAACAGGGATGTATCCTTTCCCAGGTATGTCCAACAAGTGTGGACAGCGTTGTCTTTGATCCTTGCAGAAGCATCTGCTAAAGCTGTTACTGCACCTTGTGCAGCTTTTGGAGACCTCAGAGTGGGATTTCTGGGCCTGACTCCGTGGAGCGTCTGTAACTGTGGTCACTGGAGGGCAGCCTCTACTTTCCTGAGACGTTTTCTAGGGCTTGAAGTTGTTGGGCCACAGAATTGGGGACTTGGAAAGACCTTTTAATCAAGCTTAACACACTCCCCAATCTAGAGAGAGGTAAAATGACAGAGGCATCCATACAGGCGATTAGTGGCAGAGTGGGGACGAGAGCCCCCACAATTCCAGCTCTCCTCAGACCTCATGTTTGATGGACCCCACAGTGGTCCCTCCATCACTATTGGCTCTGGACACTGCGTGTCTGCTTCTTCCCCTCAATTTCCTTATGTATCTTATGATGCAGTTGAATGGAATGTGGGGAGTTTGAGCTGCCACTCCGAGGTTCTAAGAAGCCCACTTAGGACTTGCCTGGGAGGGTGGGATGGGAATTTGCTGGGAGAGCAGTGCAGGGGTAGGATGACTGACAGGCAAGCTTTCTCTTTAATCACAGCAGCTGAGCACTTCACACACTGAATTTCCATATAAGATCCTTGGAGCAAAGGGGCTCGTGGATTAAAACATAACCTTTGGAAACCACTGAGTAAGGTGATCACTGGATCTTTTCTAGCCCTACATTCTATAAGTCTGTTGGTTCCTAAATAATCATCCTCTAAAAAGAGAGGGAGTGTGTGGGTGTGTTCTGTGTGTTTTGTCTGTATGTGTTTTTGTGTCTACCTGGCCCCCGACTAGATTTTAAACTCCAGAAGGGTTTATTTTTTGCCACAGTTCCCATACCCTGCTAGATAGCTTACATTACATATGGCATGTATGTCAACAAATTGTGGATTACTTAACCCCTTAGATTTTATGTGGTTTTCTCTAATCCTGCCGACAAGGGTGCAAAACGGGCATCATCAGCCCCATTTCACAGTGAGGGAAACTGAGGCAAAGAGAAGTTCAGAACTTGACTCAGGTTCACAGAGCTGGTGGGTGGAAAAGGCAGGTTTGGGACCAGGTCCAGCTGTCTCCAGAGAAGGTGATCTTGACCAGGCCATGGTCCTGCCTCTCTGACCTCACAGGACACTGCTGGGTAGGTATTCGCAGGGGTGAATACTCAGGACTCCTTAAACTTTTATTTCATTGGCGTTCCAGTGCCACGTGATCCCACGAGTTGTTGTTGTTTTTAGTCTTTCTATATGCATATATGTCTCTCTAGTAACGGTTGTTTGAAAACAGAGAATAGTGCAGTGGTAAAGAACATTCAGTTTGGAGAGTAAGATCCCAGGCCGTGTATGCAGCCATCCTCTGGTTTGCTGTGTGACCTTGTGTGACCTTAGAAAAGGCCCTTTGGGTCCCTGGGCCTCAGTGAACTGGTGGTTCGCCAGTCACAGGCCCTGTGGCATGCTGGACCTCCCAACCCTTCAAAGACCTCCGCCAAATTTTAATCAATATGTGTATCAAGTTAATTTTTCCTCAATGGAGTGTCAGATGACATCTATCATGTGAGCTGAGTAAGTTGTGGGAGAGAGTGGGGCAATTGCTGTGAAGTGGGAGAGAGGAGATCTGGAGCCAAAAGCAATATAACTTCTTCCTTAAAACATTTGAGAACTTTACTCCCCATGACTTAGAGACCGAGGGCAATAGACCATCCTGCAGGACGCCTGAGTGATGAGTGGGACAACCGTGGGTGCTTTTGAGACTCTGAGGTGCATGGGGCTGTGGTTGTTGCTATTAGTAAGTGCAACTGTGTTATACTTTAGAGTGATTTTTTTTATTGTCTTAGGCTTTTAATTACTTCTAGTGTTAAATCTAAAATTCTGTCCTTTGAAAGTATACAGGCAAAGGGTTGAGCCCGTCCACCTATGAAAGTCTAAATAGGTTTTGAAGCCAGATCTGGGTTCCGATTCAGGTTTCATCACTTGAGCTGGGCGGGGGGACCTTGGGCATGTTTCTTTACCTCTCTGGTGTAATGTTGTCACCTGTAAGACCGGGACACTTATACTGAACTCATGGTGATTTGTCAGGATCAAAATAGATGCTGTAGGGAAAGCACATGGTAAGGGTTCATTAAGTGGTGACTTCTCATTCTTAGGATTTAGTGATCTTCCCTGGAAGAGTGATATCGGCATAGTGGTTGTTCTGTGTTTATCGTGATGAAATAACTGTCATTCTTGGTGAACCAGTGCTGACTCAGAGTTAAATATTCAGGAAGTCAGTGCCTTCCTACGATCACCAGTTGTAAGTACATTGCTTGCCTGTCCGCTGTGCACAGAGGTCAGTACTTAGAGCTTCGGGGGAAGTCAGGACAAAACGGAATGACCTGGAATGTTTGTCGAGTGCTTGTTCTGGTCCGGTCTTCCTGTAATGCCCCCACCAAGCCTGCCTGCTGGGCGATGGTCCTCCCTTTTCCCACGTAGAGAAACTGCGTCTCAGAAAAGTTGAGTAAATAAGCCAGGGTTACACAGCTGACAAACAATCAATCCTCCGCTATCTCCCAGTGCCTTCTTAGAGAAAGGAGTGGTTTCCCTGCACAATTAAAAGCAGCAAGGAATGGTTGACAGGTAGGGTAATGTATGTTCTCAAGTGATACACCAGATGGTACAAGGCACAATCTTGCAGTGCAGGTAAAGATATGGGGCAGGTGGGTGAAGTAACAGTTCAAGGGAGACAATGGGGGGAACAGAACCCCCTCCTTTGGCTTCTGGCTTGGGATGCTTTCCTTCTGCCCATCTGAGATGCTGGTGTGATGTCACGCCTTGACTGGCACTGCAGTATGTCTACATCCGTCAGCGGCGAGAGCTGGACGTGGAAGGACGGAAGATCTACGTGGTCCTGGCCCAGAGCACCTCCGTGCCACAGTTTGCTGAGAGGTCGGGCGTGATCCGGGTGAAGGGGTACAAGCAGAGCCTGGCGATTGAGAGCGATGGCAAGAAGGGGAGCAAAGGTAAAGCCAGGGTGCATGCCAGTGCACCAGCCAGGGCCGCCCATGCAAAGGGCACGCTGATCGTGAGGCATGTAAATGCATGATCCTTGTTCCCAGAGGCCAGAGAATGGGCAGGGGTGCAAGACAAACATGGGGAGAGATTTAGTTCATCCCAGAGACTTGGCTAGAGTGCAAGGTGGATGTTTAAATCTGACCCAATCCATTCTTTACTGACTGTTGTCCAAATGGAATAGATCATCAAAGTCCACCAGAGGGCTCAGAATTGACTCCAGGTGGGTCCTGGGTGGGTGGGGGTGGGGGGGGAAAGAGCCCATAGGAATGTTTCGGGGGACATGGCTCCTTCTCAGCAAAACCCCAGAGTCTCAGGGCCTGCCTACCTTGAGTTCAAACCACGAGAAGAGCTGGGGCAGAGCGTGGGCCGCCTGGCCACCTGCCCTACTGGCATGAGAAGGCCTTGAACCGGAGGCAAAATCCAAGCCATGGTTCTGATGCCTGTTAGATCTGTCACCTTGACAAGTCAACCCACACTTCTTAGTCTCCGTTTTACCCTGTACACACTGGGGTTTAATTTCACCAACTCCTTACGATTGTTAGGTTAGCAAATGGAGAAATTATAATGAGACTCTATCCAAGTGTCTGGCACTTGCCAGGTACTTAAGAAATAGCAGCAAAATGTACCTTGACTATGTTTTCAAAAATGTTTACATATAAACGCCCTGGAAGACAAGGCAGAGGAGAGAATCCACCTGACTTACGTGTCACCTCCCCTTTCTCCTTCTGGGTCTGAATCGGAAGGGGGAGGTTCGCAGGGTTGGTGGCTGTACCTTTCTAACCTGTTTTCTCCTGCTGACTCGTGCTTTCTCTCCCCCTCTAGTTTTCATGCATTACTTCGATAACCCAGGTGGCCAAATTCCGTCCTGGCTCATTAACTGGGCCGCCAAGGTGAGATCCCAGGAGGCAGAAGGGGGAAGTGTGTTTGACAAATGTTGACTTAGCCCGTGGGGGCTGTCAGGCCGAAGAGACACGCTGTCTCAGGCCTAATGAGGCTCTTTTATGAAGCAGCGTGGTTGAGTGACCACGCTTAGGACTGGGGTTGCCAACACCCAGGATGAAGCTGGGGCAAAAGACAAAGAATCCTTAGCTGGAATGCCAGCCCCTCCCTGCCAGTGCCCCGAGACCCCGCCAGGATCACTCTCTGGAACCTCGGGACAATAGGCTGCTCCTCCTGCGGACAATGGTGCCTTTGGACCCTGTGTCTGCTTACGGAGGAGCTGGGCTGGCTGGGGAGACAGCCTGACGTCTCCACGCCTCGGGAGAGCCTCGGGTTTTGTTCTGTTGTTTTGCTCTGTTGCCCTGTGAGGAGAGGGAACCACAATGGTCGCCCCGATCACTGGAGACTGCCTAGGCGCCTGGTTTCACTGGGACCGTTCAGCCTGCTGTGTACCAGTCCCACTAACTGGCTGGAGGGCTCAACAGATCCCCTGGGAGCGTGACAAAGCTCAGAGGCTTTGGGTCAAACCCAGGTGCCTTTGAATCCAGGCCCTGCTCTGTGTAATTGATGGAAGCCATCGAGTCTTTCCCTTTTAAAAGGGACTGGATATTACCTGCTGCGTAGAGTGGGAGTAGAGAAGACAATGTTGGTGGAAAGTCTTGCACAATGGTCAACACTCGCTAAGCAATAGTGTATCCAGCCTCACGCCCCCAAATCCTTACCAGTCTCTAATTCTGCAAAGCGAGTCCTTTCCCTTCCTCAGGGGAGTTGAACAACCCAGCCCCATCCCATGCCCCGTGTTTTCTTTTTCTTTTCAAGAAACGGTGTCTCAGAAATGTCTTAGCTTTTCATTGGCAAACGCCAAAGCATAAGGCAGTGCCTTGCAACAGTGGCCTCTGTGGTCTAGTCTCACCTGCGCCCTGGATCTTACCTTTCGCCATTGTCTGTGGCAACTTGAAACCCGGTCCAGGCCCTGTTGTCTTTCATTCTTCCCTGAGTCGCCTTTGTCTACCTGAGCCACACGCCAAGGAATCGGGAGTGATTGCGGTGAGAACCTAGACGTGACAGTCTCCTTTGCTTTGCAGAACGGAGTTCCTAACTTCTTGAAAGACTTGGCGAAAGCCTGTCAGAACTACCTCCAGAAAACCTAAGGAAGGGGATTGGGAAGCTTGTGCCATGCACCGACGTCTGCGGAAGAGCCACAACCCACGGACGCTCGGCCTTCCTTTCGCTTTCCCGTCCTCAGAGGCCGGCACACCGTCCAGCTCGGCCCCAGCCTCCCTGTGTGCCTGACGCCCGGCTTCCTTTCCCACTTGCCCTGCCCTGCTGCCTCCTTCCACAGTTGAATATGCGTCAGATTAGGGAAACTTCTGCTTGTTTGTTTTTCAAAAGGGAAGTCCTCAGCAGGGAACACAATCACTCCATTGTGCCTTTGGAAGGGGATGGATGGGTGGAGAAGCCACAACAACAACAAAAAACACACACATAAGAATGCCCCCTCCAGGCAAGCTGAACTGGATTTCTTGCCACTCAGAGGGGCTGCTGGAAGTTGCGTTCCCTGCAGAGTCGGCTCACAGTGTGCCAAGACTGGAAGGCTGGGTTGACATCCCTTTGCCTTAAGTCTGGTGACTTGATTTGGCTGGGATCTGAGGGGATAATCCAATAATTCTCTGCCCATCTCCACAGCTGGAGGATCACAAGCTGCTTTGATTTGAAAAACACTGTAGGCCTGACTAAGCATATGACTGTGATGTGACAACCGTTTTCTCCTCATCACCCATGTCTGGGTGTTTCTCTATCCATATGCCACTGGGGAGAGGTTGGCCACACCTCACTAGCTCTTCGTTTTACTGGCAATGGAGGCATCCGGTTGTCTCTGGTAGTTAACAAAAGCCAAGATGCTTTGCACACAGCCCTGTGATAAAGTGTCCTTATAGGCAATACGATGAATTTCCCCTCTGGAAGGTTTGGAGATGTTGACAGGATCATGGTCCACAGCCAGGGAAATATTAACGAATGGCTTGGTTGACTCTCTACTTTTTTCTCAGGAATTTACCCAAGTTGTCTGCCTCTTCCCACCACCCAAAGACTTCTATGTTTTCTCCTGAATTTTGGTAGGGCCAGATATCTATCTTGTGACACAGCCTTGATGATCTCAGAGAAAATGTTTAAGCACTGTGTGTGACGGTGTCACCCTTGATGAACGGGCATAGGCATTCAGGAGGTAAAGCCAAAAGCCAGGGGTTTATGAAAACGGGATATCTCAGACTGTACATTTTCTCTCTGGGAAGGAAAGTGATTGAATACCAAATAAATACAGAGTGGCTTCTATTTATCCTGTGTGCAGCTTCCTTCCTACCTGGTTCCTTTTGTGAGAATGAATCAATTTGGTCTCTTTGGTTTACAAGTCACATCCGACCGAACTCATGGACTTGAACAACAACAAAAAATTTAGGCTCACTTACCTGCAAGGCCAGGTGAAGAATGGCTTCAGGTATGGGTTGATACAGGTGCTCAAATTGACGTTATAATTCCGCTCTCTTCTTCAAGTTATTTTTGATGTTGGGCTGTATTTGGTGGCTAGATTGCTGCTAACAGCAAAAGGTAGGCTTGCATCTTCCCAGGCTCATGCTGAGCCAAAAGAGAGAGGGGGAGAGAGGGAGAGAGATAACATTTCTTTTCATTAAACCCACACCATCCCATGATTCCCTTTAAACCATGTGCCTACCCCTACCCCAGTCATTGTCATATGGATAGAATTATGCAACTAAGTGATACTTCATCAATGTATCATTAAAATGTCATCATCATGAGTATAGCTGGAATTTAATGATAGATAAATTAAGTGCTTTATGTTAAAAAGGTCAAGTTGAAAATTTATGAATAGAGCCACTGAAACACAAGCACTGAGATTTCAGCCTTTGAGCAGAGAATCGACATGAAATGGCATGCAAACCACAATTTTAAACAGTGTTTCATACCTTGCTAAGAACTGTGAGAATATTAAGAACACTGAGTTTCTAGGTAAGGCAGTGAGAATATTAAGAACACCGAGTTTCTAGGTAAGGCAGTTAGAAAGAAAAGTCACGAAGTTTGCTATAACTGTCCTATGCACCATTGACATGGGAGGTTATGCGGGAAGCTGAGAACCCCTGAGCCAGAAGCACAAGCGGGAAGCTGAGAACCCCTGAGCCAGAAGCACAAAATATATAGAGCTGGTGGGGGGTGGATGCCCCCTTTGGAATTAGAAAGTCACACACATTTTGTCATTCCTCTAGCACCGTGCTTCACTTGTTTTCCCCGCGTCTGTGGCTCTAGGTAGACACTAGTATCTTGTGAATAGAAACAGTTATGTGGCTTTGGTTACTGCCTTCTAGGGTCGGCTACAGAAGGCATTCGGAGGGTCCCTGGGTGAGTGAATACGTCATTGATAGGAGATTGACCAAATGACACCCAGGAGACAAACCCATCCAATATGCAGGTTTCGTTTGATTACATTAAATAATAATTTAATATTTAGTCATTTAATTCAAGTTGTTGAAGCAAAATTTTTGGACTGGAACACGCAGTGTTCCCCTGGGCAGGATGTCCTGGATTCTTTGTGCGCCGGAGTTGAAGAATGAATCCACAGACAGAAGGCGCTATGGCAAAGGTGGAGATTTATTGAAGAACAAGTACAGATTCCCACGTGGGGAGGGGGAAAGAGTCTCACAGCACAGACTCCCACGTGGGGAGGGGGAAGAGTCCCACTGAGTTCCTTTTCCCTGTGGCTTATAAAGGCTGCAGATCCTGGTGCCTGGATATCCCCTTTGATTGGTACTATTCCCTAGCACTGGTTACTGTAGTAACTCTGGGCTCAAAGGTCGAACCTCATGGGACTTGTGAGGTTTTTCCTCCCCTCCTTATTGTTTTCCTATTCCCTTTGGGCTTTCTTCTTCTTCTGCATAAAGGGCTTCCTTCCCTTTATTTTGTAAATATAGACCTTTTGCTTCTTCCCAGCTCTCTCATTCTATGGAAATGTACCTTTTGCAGCTTTTCAGCTCCCCTATTCTATGGAAATATACCTTTTGCTGCTCTGCAGCCCTGTGCTTCTTCCATGGTCCTCTTAATTTCCAAACTTTCTAAAATTTCCTAAATCTGCCCTTTTCACCCCTAAAAATTCCTGTTATAGTATTCCTCCCCCACCCGCCCAAAAAATCATTTTTGGGTGTTCTAGATTCCTATGGGCCCTTCCTTTAAAGTACTAAGGTCCCTTCTTTGTGAAGGGCTGTCTTGGCTGGTGTGTCTATAGGTTATATTTTATTGCCAATCTGGAGCCAGAAGAAGGAAAGGAAAAGGAAAGACCTAAAAAAATGTAAGCAGGTCCTTTCTCTCCAAAGTTTCTTTATCTGCACTCCTTCCCAACTACAGGAAGATTTTTTTTTTATTTTTTGCTTGAAATGATAGAAACACATTGTTTCAGTGCTCAGAGATTAGAACCAGCAAAACAGAAGGGCTTCAGAAAAATTATTTATATTGCTAACCTATTTATATGTATTTGTGTGTGTGTGTGTGTGTGTTTGTCTGCTTAAATACACGTAACATGTGCTCTCTTTCATGAGATATGAGAATGGAACGGCTGAGTGGCAGGTCGTGTGAGTGCCTGTTCAAGGTCTCTCTCTGCAGGCTGCACCAGGCTCAGTGCTGGGCTCTGGGTGGCAGAGTTCATACAGGAAGAAGGGACTCTTCCCCTGGGAATTGGCAGTCTAGCGAGGATGCCATGCATGGTTTATGACCATAAACCATGAGAATGGGATCGCCAACCCAGGAAAGGAACACATGCAACAGTTGAGGCGTTTGTGGCTAACTGCTGCTAAAACCAAGGCAACTGGTCCAAAAGGGAGTTGCTTATGCTAAGCATGACCTGATATTACCAAAGACTTCACTTAATGGCAGTTTGGCTTTTAGAGACAGGAAATCTTACACCAGTCACTCAGGAATCCACCTGATCAGACCCTGGCCATCCCTGAAAGAAAAGTTCCCTTGCAATAAACATCTGTTTTTTGTTTTTTTTCATGGTGTAGCTCCCTTGTTTCTACTCCCTTCTGCCTGAGGACGTCTTTCATTTGTACAACTCCTCAGGGCTTTTTTATAGCCATTTGATTGGGTGCTGCCTAATTCAAACCACCGTTTGCTCAAACAAATTCTTGAAATGTTGACTATGGCTCAGTTTGTCTCCTAACACCTCTGGGGTCAGAAGAGGACACCCAACGTCCCCCAGGAGCAGCCAGTGCCCACATAGGGACCCAGTGCGCCCTTGAGCTGCTATGAAGGTCATGGGTACACCCCTCTCTGTCCAGCTCTGCTGCTTCTGCATTGTGAGCTCTCACACTTGACTTGAGCATTTCTTTTTCTGGACTGGAGCCCAAAACTGGAGGGAATCAGACTGGGCCTGACTTACAAACCCGCCTGGGTCAGAGGTCAAAGCGAGTCCGACTTCAGCTGGACTGGGGAGAGGGGCGTGTGCAGTGTGAGGCCTCAGGTGAGCTACATTTTGTTTTAAGGCTGAACAAGCAGCCTAGCAGCATAACCGCGATGACAGTGGCCACAGCGGAGAACGTTTAACCTAAACGAGCTTACCTACTGATGAGGTGCCCCGGAGAACGCGGCGTCTCAGACAAATTCTCAGCACAAAGGGTAGCAGGGAAGTTCTTTTTCCTCGGCTGCAGTTTCTGTGGATGAGGATGAGCCCTGCTGGGACACCCCACTCACTCCGGAGCCCACAGACGGAGTCCTGGGAACCTGGCCGAAGCCGGCAAACGGTAAGAATTCTTACCAACGTCAGCTCCATCTCTGCCTCTGTCTGTGACGCGTGGTGCAGAGAGGAAGGTAAAATGGCACTTTTCCAAATGTATAATGGCAGCCAAAAAACATTTGTAAGAATATTATCTTGGAACTGTGACTAGTGTGTTTTCAGGCACCCACTGTCCCTCTTTTCTCTCATGGGGACAGCTTTTGCTTCTTGTTTGTCTCATTCTGTGTCCTGAGAACGTGACTTGGCGGCTTTTAGATGGTCAGACATGCTGGTTGGATCCTCAGTGTGACTAGATGTGACGACAGAAGTGTCAGCGTGCCATTTGCTGTCAGGGTCCTGGGAATGTTGGTAGCTCTCAGGGGAGCAGGGGGATTGTCTTTTTTTAGCTTTTGGTTTCTCTCTGGAAGTGGCTCTGGGCCCTGGGAGGGTCGTCTCGGTATCTTTTGCACCCTCTTTGGGGATGCCGCTTGTTTTCAAATACACATACTCAAGATAGAGAACACACAAATACCCAAACTATCTGCTGAGGGAAGGAAGGAAGGAATCTGTGTTGGAGCAGCCAACATGCCAGAAAGATGGGCCCAATACACCTCCACGTAACCTCATGTTCCACCTTAGTCTCACCGCAGAATGAACTTCGGGAACAAACACATTTGCAGGATGTTCTAAAGCTGGAATTACTTTGCCTTTTGGTTATTTATTATTGTATTAC